GGAGGGGAACAGAAGAGTAATTCACATATGTAAGAGAGACAGACACGACTGTAAAGCAAATAGTAAGATGAGCACTGTAAAAGTGGTGAAATATGACACACTTTCGGGTCATTCAAGATATAAATTACGGTTCTTATAAACTTGAAAAAATACGCATCACGATTTTAGGCTTATATTTGTTCTTAGTATTATATTAATACACACGTCATGGTAAACTCTTATCCAGTAGCAACTGTAATCGTAAAGGATTGATCAGTAGGTTTTGCCCGACTCTATCTAGTGCCTAATAAAATTTTCGATACTTCTTCTCTCGTATTTGCTCATAAAATGTATCTACTAATGCTATTATTATTATTATTACATTTAAATTATTTTGGAATATATGAGTTTCAACGTTAAACTATTCTTACTTGTCCCTTAGACTACTGGGGCGAATTCTCGTCCACACTACCCAGGACAGTTTGATCTGTTGACTAATTTAAATGATCGAACTTTCCTGCTCATTTCATGTTTTCTTCCAGAGTTTAAGTAAAATTGAATGATTTCACACTATTTTTAGCTGCTTAAGATTTTTGTTGATACCATTATTACGATTGTCTTCGGTACTATAAATATCCTTAATTTTTAATCGATAACGTGGAATCTGAAAGAGCAACTTAAAGTTGCCAAATAGTCTCATCGTAATGTGGTTATTGTTTTCATTTTCATAAAGTTGAACGACTTGGCATGTTTCCTAATTATAACAAATTCTTTTCTATGCTGCTGGATGATTATCAACTGATTTTTTTAGTCAAGAGGGTTCGATCGTACAATTTCAATTCGTTCCTACCACCAAAGGTTGAGGTGACAAAATTATTTTAGCCTACATTTAGCTAATTACAGTTTTAATTCAACAAAAGAGAGATAGGTGAAAATTGAAATTTGAATATAACGACAGCAAATTCAAGGTACTTTCGATAGAAAAAAATGTCAGTGTGAAAGTGGCCTTTCTTATTAAAATCTTGTCCGATATTAAGGGCAAACATTTCACCTTATTTATGGAGATCTCTTAAACCACTTAGAACTCGTATAATGATGGCAAAATTTCTGAATTTCAGTAAATTATGAGAACAAAGCCAGTTTAGGTTATGTCGAACAAATAGCATCTCTAGTTCCACTTTTTGGAGAATCTTCCTATATATTTTCAAAATTATATATAATGTTAAATCACTTTTGCAACCCAAACAGTTAATATATGCTCATATTAAAGATATTACTTTTTCAAACCAAGGTTTAAAATGGTTACACCTTCATTTTTGAGGAATATTTAATTGTTTAAATGGATGTGCAGTTTTGGCACTGGCATATTAAAATGACAACGAGCTTTGAAGTGCACTCACCCTGTTTAGAACATTTGCAGGTTGAAATCGACTACGTAAGTTTTACAACTGAGAGTCATCCACACCTAGATTGTCTGCATTGTCTCTAAGTTGCAAAAAAGTTAACAGCAGGTTTCTTTGTTTTTCTCATGCGCACAGCTTAGTGGATGACTCACAGTCACCCCTCCCCCACCCCCCCACCCCACCCCACTCCTAAAGACCACAGCTCTACCCTGCATATAAACTCATTTAAAGGTCAAATTCACATGAAACACATAGCAGGGAATAAGAGATCATGATACCAAGACAAAAGAAATAATGTATTACATTAGCTGCAAAGCCAATGGTTAGGACTTTTGTAGTGATGCTCTAACTTCCAAGTTAGTAACTTTCTCTAATAGTTTTTTCCTCCTTTTGTGTTTCCAGATTTTACAAGATTCTATACCATTAACATGCCCTAAATTCCCAGAGTGCTAACGATGGTGTTTTCGTCAAATCTCGCCTCAAACCATCCATCATGCTTCTGAGTCTTTACCAAATTTCAGAGTTGAGCGCCACAGTCGTTAAGGCATATACAAATACAGTTTATCGATTCAATTTGATTTTCTCACGCCCTATTAGGAGACTCACTATTGACATATCTGATTCTCTTTTTCCCACATGTTCCCCTGTTGAAGTATCTTTGTACGTACTCACTGGAATGGTGGCTGATGGCTATCCACCTAGAGTCCAATAAAATCCCTATCCTTCCAACTCATGCTCTTTCGATTGAAGAAAGGTTATTGTGACCTCGTAATCTAACTCAATCTTATTATAAAAGTAGATTTACCAATGATTAGAGCTGACTTTAACCATAATGACTTAATTATTTTGCGAAATTACTTA